GAAGCAATGGATGGAAACAGTCAAGGAGAGAAGCAACCTGGAACTAAGGAAAGATTTCCTGACAGTGAGGACAACTAACTAATGCAATGGGTTGCTTTCAAAAGTTATGGAGGCTTTTAAGAAGAGATTGGACATCTGAAATGGTATTGGGTCTCCTGCTTGGGCAGGGGGTTGGACTAGAAGACCTCCACAGTCCCTTCCAGATCTGTTATTCTGTAACATCATTGACATGGTGTTCTGACAGACTAAAAAGGTTGCGTAGTTCTTAAAATAGCTACAGCAAGAACCCATTGGTATCTTAAAACACCCAAACGTTGTCCCCCACAAATCCTCAAAATACAGGAAATCCCGGTCCCACTAGAAACAGACTCTATCCATGTCAGAACTAGCCAACCAGCTGGGGTTGGGCAAACCTTGTATCTAGCTGAAAGTTCAGGGTGGTGTGTGAACCCAGCATCTTGGATTAATTCAGCAAATTGAGGTTCAATTAACCATGAGTAATATGTTGGGCGAACCTAGATGGGAGTGAGATATTTACATTGTAGGTCTAGCCAGCATGATCAACGCCTTCCCCTCCCTTGAGCATGCCCCACAGCCACGTAAGATTCTCCACCGCAGGTAGAGAGCCCTGATTTGTTTAGATGTGAATGGCTAAATAAAGTAGGTGTGCATGTAGGGGCAGGAGGAGAAATCCTTAACTTCTCCGTCGAATGAAATTTGATGAGATTTATACAACAATTTCTTTGCTATTTAGAGAAACAGGGGTGTGTTCTTAAGGACATCCTTAAGGATTTATCATATTTTGTCAAAAAAAACTGAGGAGAAGGAAGAAGAAGAGGAGAGGAGGAGGAGGAGGAGGAAGACAAGGAAGAAGAGGAGGAGGAGGAGGAGGAGGAGGAGGGGGAGGAGGAGCAGGAAGACAAGGAAGAAGAGGAGGAGGAAGAGGAGGAGGTGGAAGAGGAGGAGGAGGAGGAAGACAAGGAAGAAGATGAGGAGGAGAGGAAGAGCAGGAGGAGGAAGAGGAGGACTAGGAGGAAGAGGAGAAGGAGCAGGAAGACAAGGAGGAAGACGAAGAGGAGGAGGAAGTGCAGGAGGAGGAGGAAGAGGAGGATAAGGAGGACGAGGAAGGATAAGAGGATACAACCTTCACAATAGTCTATTGAAGGAAAAAATATAGCTAACCCTTGACTCATCAGCATACTTGAGCCCAAAATTTATCTTGATAAGTTAAACAGTTGTTTAAGCGAAGGTTGTCTTCTTTTAGGACCTTTCTTGGCACCGTTGTTAACTGAATCGCTGCAGTTCTTAAGTTAGTAACTTGGTTGTTAAGTGAATCCGGCATTCCCATTGATGAAGCTTGCTTTGGATGGTGGCAAAAGGGTAGAATCACGTAACCACAGGACACTGTGACTGTCATAAATACAAACTAGTTGCCAAGCGTCTGAATTTTGATCATGTGACCGTGAGGATAGTTCAACGATCGTAAGTGTGAAAAACGGTCCTAAGTCACATTTTTCTATGCTGTTGTAACTTGGAACGGTCACTAAATGAACTATTGTAAGTCAAGGAGTATCGGTGGTTTTTTTTAGACAAAACCATATTTGCCTTTGACAAATCCCATTTGCCAACCTTTTTCGCCTGCAATTCCTAAAGAGAAAGGACCCTTAGGCAAAAAGAAATTTTATTTTATTTTATTTTATTGAGCCTCTACGGAGTTTTTAAAACTTCCATGCCAATGTCCCTTTAATTGAGTGGAGTTAAAAGGTTTTCAAGACTGAAAGGAGGTTAGATGTTCAATGAGAATGGAAAAAAGACAACAAGAAACCAACAGTTTGAAATGTAAGTTGGGTTGGTAATATGACCCTTTGGTGCTTTTTTAATGCTTCCTCTGCCATCCACGAGGCTCCAAAATCCATGTAATCCTGCCTGATTCCAGCAAATTGGTCTAATTTGCCTCTCTGCTAATCCTTAAAGCATCCATCGCTGATGACAAGACAGAAAAAAAAGTCTTGTGGAATTGCAAACGCTTACTGGTTTTTCACAAGTCGGCGAATGAGTCCATGCATCGTGCTACAAACCAACACTGGAAGTTTTTAAGAAGCGATTGGATAACCATTTGTCTGAAGTGGTGTAGGGTTTCCTGCTTAAGCAAGGGATTGGACTAGAAGACCTCTAAGGTCCCTTCCAACTCTGTTATTCTAAGTTAAGTTGAAACCAGCTTCTTTAACTGTGGTTTACTAAATAAACTGTTGGCAAACCAAGTCTGAGGCAAAGCCAACCAAAGCCTAGAGAAATGAATTCTTTAAAACAAGGATCTCCAACCTTGGCAACTTTTAAGACTTGTGGACTTCAACTCCCAGAATAAGTCCACAAGTCTTAAAAGTTGCCAAAGTTGGACATCTCTGCTTTAAGATATATGACACCCTTTTAAAGCAGCCCAACATGCTCGTACTACCATATGTGGTGGACATGCCCAAAAGTGAAAGCATACTGGACAAAAATACGTATTTGGATAGAAAAAATAATAAAGGTACATATAGATTTAAAACCAGAAATATTTCTGTTGAGTATCATACCGGAAAAATATAATAAATGGACTATGTATCTAATGCTACGTGTGTTAACAGCACCCAGAATTGTATTTGCACAACATTGGAAAGGTGTGGAGATCCCTACAGAAGAGAAGATAATTTTAAAAATACAAGAATGTGCAGAAATGGATAGATTAACACTTGAAATTAAAGAGAAGGGGGATACGGAATATTTTGAAGCATGGGATTCGTTTTATCAGTGGTTAACTAACAGAAACAGAAGTTAGAACATTTAAAATTATAAGAGAAGGATTAATTGTACTATGAGGGTTTATTATGATATATTTATTATTAATATGATTTAGTATTAATAGTAAGCATTAATATTATGTTGAGAAAATACTGTTATTATATGATCACTACCAATGAACATTATTACTTTGGTGATGATGATGACCAGTGCTCTAACTGTAACCAGACAACACACTGTTCATATAGACATTGAAACTGTGGCTCTTTCTTTATATAGTAATTTTTTTTTTAAAAAAAGTATTACTTAAAACAGCCCAATATACCCCACACCCAAAATGTATCTGTGTGGGCTCATTCTCAACTTCATCAACTGTTGCAAGAATAAACCGGGAAGAGAGAAAAGTGGGATGCGCAGATAATCTGCAGAATCTGAAAACTTAATGTGGGGGATAGAAAAAGGAAAGCCATCATTCGACACTCCGATAGTTTTCAAGTGGTTCCAGGGTTTTGCCTCTCATCCTAAAAGAAGCACTGAAACCCAAAAAATATTTCTTTGTCTCAAGCACCTCTCACTCAAGGAGCTTGAAATCTCTCACGTGGATTTCAAGATGGGATAAAGCGAAAAACAGCCCATGCTTCCCCATCCGTATCTGCATTAGCAGCCGATAGATTTCCAGAACAATTCAGCTAGAATCGAGTCCCTGCATGCCTTCTTGGGCAAAGGCCTTGCAACCAGGCAGTGTGGGAGGTGTTAGGGATATGGGGATAAATAAAAGCAGGTTACCAGATATTTCGTGATAAGGACCATACAGGTCACAATTGTTACTTTAAAATAAATTAGAATTATTTTTCCTGCAGTGCATTTTGGCCAAGAGGTCAGTGAAGTAATTGGTTCACAGTAGATTATCTTTGCAGGGATTAAAGAAAGAATGATAATTTTTTTTCCCCTAACCATCTTTTCATAAATAAATATTACATGCATGACTACACTGTCCTATGTAAGTTGAATGTTTCACATTTTAAGCCCAGTGTTTGAGAGAGGATTCTTCAGGATGATGAGGGGAAGAGAAAGGAAGGGAAGGGAAGAAAAAAATGGAAGAAAGACATGGAATGGGAAGGGAAGAAAGAAAGAAATAAAATGGGAAGGGAAGAAAGAAATGGAATAAAGAAATGGGAAGGGAAAGGAAAGGAAAGGAAAGGAAAGGAAAGGAAAGGAAAAGAAAAGAAAGGAAAGGAAAGGAAAGGAAAGGAAAGGAAAGGAAAGGAAAGGA